GATAACAAGCCCCAGAGCCGAAATCGCGGAAAACTACCCAGATCAGGAAGAACATAACGTCGGGGACCTGGGTTTCTCCCCTTTCAGGATCCTCTCCGTCCTCCTCCTCCTCCTCCTCCTCCTCCTCCTCCTCCTCCTCCTCCTCCTCCTCCGCCTCCTCCTCCTCCTCCTCCTCCTCCGCCTCCCTCCTCACAGCAGCGCATCAGATCATCAACATCATCATCTTCCTCCTCCTCCAATCAACTCCTCCAACTCCTCCTCCTCCTCCTCCTCCTCCTCCACATCCTTCCTCCTCCCCCTCCTCCTCCACATCCTCCTCCTCCTCCTCCTCCTCCTCCTCCTCTCCTCCTCTCTTCATCCTCCTCCTCCTCCTCCTCCTCCTCCTCCTCCTCCTCCTTCTCCTCCTCCTCCTCCTCCTCCTCCTCCTCCTCCTCCTCCTCCTCCTCCTCCTTGTTCTCTTGCTCCTGCTCCTGCCGCTCCCTCCTCCCCGCCCTCGTGTTCGTTTATGTGTTCGCGATGTCTGATACGCGTGATGTTCCGTCCTTACCCCCTGGCTTTTGGCCAGGGTGGAGGAGAGCGAGGGCATGAACCTGTCCGCAGCATCGAGCATCGAGTAGGAGGAGAAGGGACGAAGGAGGACGAGGACGAGGAAGGAGGAGGAAAAGGAGGAGGAGGAAGAAGGAGGGACGAAGGAGGGACGAAGGAGGCGGGACAAAGGATGGGGAAGGAGGAAGGAGGACGGAAGACAGAGGAGGAGGGAAAAGAGGAAGGAGGGATGAGGAGGAGGAGGAGGAGGAGGAGGAGGAGGAGGAGAAGGAGGGAAATGGAGGAGGAAGAGGAGGGAGGAGGCAGACGAGGAGGAAGGAGGAAGGACGGACGGTGGAGGAGGAAGAGGGAGGAGGAGGAGGAGGAGGAGGAGGAGGAGGAGGAGGAGGAGGAGGAGGAGGAGGAAGAGGAGACGATCACGAGACGATTGCCGACCAGACTGCAGATCTCACCGATTTGCAGTTGGCGGCAACAGAGACAGAAACAAGCCCCCTGGGCACAACACTCGCCGTGGTAGGAGAAGGGAACAAGCCCAAGAGGGAAGCTCCAGACACTGGAGGCGCTGTCGGGCAGCTCTCAGGGCTCCAGTGTGCACGATGTGGACGGAGGAGGAGGAGGAGGAGGAGGAGGAGGAGGAGGAGGAGGAGGAGGACCACGAGGAAGGAGCAAGAAGGAAGGAGGGACGAGGAGCACGAAAGGAGGAAGGGGGAGGAGGAAGGAAATGGAGGAGGACGGCGAGGAAGGGGGAGGAGAGGTGGACTGCACCTCGGCGCGTTGCGGCGGCCGCGACCACGACCCCGCCAGGCCGACAGTCCAGCCTGCCGCCCGGCTTCGCGCGCACGTTGGCGCGACGAGGCGCGCGCGCCCGCGAGAGGGAGAGACACAGAGACAGAGACAAAGAGAAACAGAGAGACAGAGAGAGAGAGAGAGAGACAGAGACAGAGACAGAGAGAGACAGAGAGCTCCCGCGACGAGAGGGCGTCAACCATGCTTGGCGGTGCCCGGAAAGGGCGATGTGGGGAGCGCGAAGGGGCTGGCCTTCTGTGAAGGCGGGGGGGGGGTTCTCGGGAAGTGGGGCGGGGGCTTCTCAGAAGGGGCCCGGAGGCCCTCAAGAAGGCCTCTCGGAAGCCGAGAGGGCTTCTGAGAAACACCTTGCCTTGGAGTACCATGCGGGACCTGCTCTAGAGCAGGAACAGACCGTATACGGATCTGCTCTTCTCTCCGACCTTGCACTGCACCGAACGCAACGGCCGCGTTGTCCATAGGCGCGTCCACCCCGGAAAGTGTCTGTGGACGTCGCGGCACCCAAAGTGTCCATAGACGGTGTTGGCTAGGGCGTGAGAACGTTATTTCTTTGACATCGGCCCCACGTTGTGGGTCTCCTGAACAGCATGTAGACACGGCCCTCCAAACCCCGCCCTGCACGCGGGCTCCGCGAGGCCCCCCCCCCGCCTTCTTGGAAGGCCGCCCCCCCGCCCGCGCCGCCCCCTCGTGCGCGCGGCCGGCGTGCACGCACAGCGGAGGCCCGGCCACAAGAACACTGCCACTAACGGAAGCCCAGACCTGAGACCCCGGGAGGTCCATGGACAGTCGGTGTGGAAACGCCACGCCGCCCACAGCGCGACCACCGCAAGCCCAGAAGCCCAGGGCAGCCTGGAGGCAAGCAGGGTGTTCCTTGGCATGGTCCTCTGCGGTACGGGCATCGGGGGTCGAGGATCGAGGCTGTTGGGTTGACCGGGGCCTCCAGCAGCGTCCTCGTCGCCGCAGCTGGGTTCCCGTCGAACTTCTGGCCAGGACAAGTGAACTTGCGAGAATCGGGGGTGGAGGATTGAGGTCATGGGATCGCTGGGTTCCCGTTGAACCCTCTGGAAAGAGGCGCTGCACCCGCGCGCGCGCCGCCGAGCATGCTTGCCAGCAGCTGCGTCAGTGCCCCTGTGCACGGGGACGTTGCTCCACCGGCACACTGGCGCACCCCACGAAAACTGCAGCCGAGGGCCGAAGCACTCTCCGATCATAGTTTTGTGGATGCCACGACAACGGACACCCTTAAAGTCCGATCATTGAGTTTAACATGTGCTTAAAGTGTCGGGAAATGTTCTAAACATGTTTTGAACATGTTTTTACATGTTTGAACATGTTTAACACGACATCTGGAAATGATTTGGCAACATGCCTCCTCTCCACTGATCGCCCTCCACAATCACAGCTTCCTTCCGCTGCATCTCGCGGAGTCCTGGCCTGCAGCGTCCTGGCTTCCGGGGCCCCGCCTGCGCCTCCACCGGGGGCGTTCGGGGGTGCCCCCCCACCGGCTGGAGGCCCGAGCTGTGGCCCGAGAGGCAGACCTCCCGCGCACGGACCAAAAAGAAAAAACGGCGCGGAACTCTGCGCGCCGCCCTCGGCATCCCGGGGTCCTCGCCGGGGGGCCCCGGGGCCGTCCACGAAACTGCTCGGGATGGCAAGAATGCTTTTTCGGCCAGGTGGCATAGGTCTTCGGCCCCCGTCCGGACCTCGGCGCCCCAGGCAAGCGTGGGGAAGAATGGCTTTCCGAAACTGTCTTGAAGTCGCTGGTGCCCACGACGCGCTGTCTGCATGCTTTCACCCGTCAGGTGGGGCGGCAGCATCGTGGGAGTCGGCAGTGAGATCGGAGGAGAAGGGCCCGAGGGGAAGGGGTGGAAGCTTGTGGGGCACCGCACGGAAGAAACCAGCGATGTGATCTCTGCGGGCGAAGGTCTGTCCGCGCCCCTCAGGCACCTCTGAGAGAGGTGCTGGGCGGGCGAAGGTGCCTGAAGAGCGCCTGGAAGCCGCTGCTTGAGAGGAAGAGGGAGGCGTGGGAGGACAGGGAGGGGAGAAGCAGGAGGAGGAGGAGGAGGAGGAGGAGTGGAAGAAGGAAGAGGAGGAGGAGACGAGAGGAGGGAGAGCAGAGGGAGCAGGGGGAGGAGGAGTAAGAGGAGGAGAAGGGCGCGAGCAGCAGCAGCAGCGGCGGCAGCAGCAGCAGCAGAAGCAGCAGGAGTGCGCGGTGGCAGGGCGAGCGCCCGAGCGCGCCAGCCGAACAGAGCCCGGCCCGCTGGCGGGCCGCGCGGGGGCGCCGCAGCGCCTCGGCGGAAAGCGGACGACCTGCGTGGAGCCGCTGCTCGCGCAGGGCCCCTGTGCCGCCGGCTGGTGGCGCGGCGCAGGCGGCACCCACTGTGGTGCCCAAGAGGCAGGTTTCCAACACATCCTGGCAAGCACTCACCAGCCTCGAACTTATCCCTATCCCTAAGATTGACACGCCAAGAGGCGATGACAATCTTAGGGATGCGCCCTGAAAAACTAAGGGAATCCCTAAGGTTGGCATCGTGATGAGGAGATGCCCAGCATAGGGATGGGGATATGTTCCAGGCTGGTTATGCACGGAGGGGGGGGGCGTGGCGAGGCCCAGACGGAAATCTGGACTTCACGCAAGTCGGGACTCACTTGCACGCCTGTCCGGCCCAGCACCTGCTGGAAAGGCGGCAGAAGGGGGGGATACCATGCAAGTGAACTTGCCTGGGTCGACACGAAATCCGACTCCTGCTGCAACGCCTAACGCGCCTACGAACCGGAGGAGGGCCAGTCAACTGCGGCCATCCCGCCCAGCCCAAATACGCTCAAAATCGGCCCTCGTACCCTTCCTGGAGTCCGCCACGCCCCGAGGTCCGGCGCTCGATCCAGCCGTATCAACTGGAAGCCCCGGGCAGGCCCAAAGAGGACGAACAACGCCAGGGAAGGCCGCCGCTGTGTCGCCTGGCCCCCCACGACTGACCACAGCTCGAAATGCGAGGTGGAACGGCGACGGGCTCAGCACGGCAGCACCGCCTGGAGCGCGGCCACTCTCTGCATGGCGTCCAGCCACGTCAGCATGCCGGCGAGCACGCAGAGGTGCCACAGGTTGTGGCTCTCTCCCCGCGGCTGGCTGGCCCCCCCCCCCAAGCACCGAAGGGGGTCCTCCTCATCCTCCTCCTCCACCTCCTCCTCCTCCTGCTCCTCGTCCTCTCGACTGGAAAATGTAAACAAAATCATAGATGGAAGCCAGCTCGTTTACAAAATGTGGGTCTCGCGTTAGCGCAGCGAACATTCGTCTTCAATACTTGCAATCGTTTCAAGGAAGGAGGGCGGGTCGTTTTCAAGATGTGGCTCTCGTCTTAGCGCCGTGCACATCCATGCGACCCACCCTCCACCATCCTAAATCCGCCGACCCCGCTTGCTGGGGGTGAAAAGGCGTGTGGGATAATTGGCGGTCCCCGTTCCCTTTCCCGCCTCCCCTTGAGCTCAACATCGCATTAGAGGGGGAGGGCACAGGGTGAGAAGGGGGGGGACCAGGAACTCATCAACGGTGCCCGGGGCGACTTTTTCGGAGCCAAGAGGGCCCCAAGACGGGCCAAGAGGGCCGCAAGAGACCCCCAAAACGGTCCAAGAGGGGCCTGAGTCGCCGAACGATGGCTCTCCAAGACGCCCCAAGAGGCATCCAAGAGGCCTCCCAAGAGGGCCCCAAGAGGCCAAAATCACTGATTTCCTTTTTCTTTTAGGTGTTTGGAGTTCTCACCTCTTCGGTTTCCCGACGCCCCTGTATTGCCCTAGGGGTCCCCAAGATCGCCCCAAGACGGCCCAAAAGGCTTCCAAGAGGGCCCAGAGAAGGCCCAAGAGGGCCCCAAAACGGCCCAAGAGGCGTCCAAGACTGCTCAAAAGGCCCCCAAGACGGCCCCGAGAGGGGGGGGACACGAATGGACATTTCGAGCCCTCAGAAGGCCCCAGAGGAGGCCCCCAAGAGGCCCCCAAGAGGTCCCCTAGAGGCCCCCAAGAAACCTCCTAGAAACCCCCAAGGGGCCCCCAAGAGGCCCCAAAACTGCCCCTAAGAGGACCCGAAAGCGCTCCGAAGGTACCCCAAGAAGCATCCCTGAGAACTCTGACCCACAACCCACGCACGATGGCGGGATTGGCCAGCGGCCACCAGATCCGCCGCCCCCTGTGGTCTTGCCACAGGGGTGCCTGGCGTGCTAGACCCCATACGGCTTGGTTTGGTTCTTCTCCAAAAGACTTCCCCCTGGGGCTTCGGCCGATCCCGCAGGCCACCCGGAAGGCTGCCGAAAATATCCGGGTGGTTGCCCAAATCGCCTCCAAGCCGACCAAGATGGCCCACCATGGCCTCCAAGACGGCCAACATGACCTCCAAGTTCGCCCAAAGTGGTCCAAGATGGCCTCCAATACGGCCCGAGAGGGTCCCAAGTCTGCCCAAGAAGCCTCCAAGACGGCCCAAGAGGCCCCCAACGAGGGCCCCAAGACGATCTAGAGAGACCCCCAAGACGGCTCCCGACGGCGTTAGATGGCCCAGGAACGTTCTTAGACGGCCAAAGAGGCCCCGAACAAGCCCCCAAAGGTCCTGCCGGGGGGGCCTTTGCGAGCTCAGCCCCCCAAGAGGCCGAAGGAGACCCCCAAGAGGCCTCCAAGAGGCTCCCAGGAAGCTCCCAGGAGACCCCAAGAGTGCCCCAAGAAGCTCCCAAGAGGTCTACTACTCCTCCGTATGTTCCTCCTCCTCATCCTCCTCCTCCTCTTCCTCCTCCTCCTCCTCCTCGCCTGCCCCCCCTCGGCCCTCAGGGGCCCAGAGCATTGGATACACCGATTTTGGATACACCGATTTTGCTCGGTCGCGATCAGAAGCGACCGATCGGCACTCCAAATCCGCCGCGACCGTAGCCGCCCCGATACGCAACACGCAACCCGTAGCGTGTTGACGAGGGGCTCAACACGTAGATTGAAATCGCAGGTATGACGCGGTACGTTCGCCGAAACGTGGGCCAATACGTGCAGCGCCAAAAGCAGCGTGTTAACACAGACGTTTTGAACACGGGACGTGTTGCGTCTCAACACGCAAAATCGGTCGCGACCGGTCGCCACCGGTCGCGACCGACTGGTTGCGACCGATCGGTCGCAACCGACATTGAAGCAAATCGGCAAATCGGTCGCGACCGCTACCGAAATGTGAAACAAAATCGGCTCCAGTATCCAAGGATCGGGGGGGGGCTGGGGCCGGCCACCGCGGCGGCTGGCCGAGGTAGTCGAACCGCCCCGGCAGCCAGCTCTCCTGCGCAGAGCGCGCCCGCAGTTGTGCGTTCATGGACATGCTCGCGCTCTGACAAGAATGCGGACGGGCGCTTTGGTCCTATGGTCTTCCATCTCCGGGGGCCCTCGCCTGGCCCCGGGACCACCAAGAAACGCCTCGGGATGGCAAGCCGGCCCCTGGGGAGAAAGCGTCGGGACTTCCGGGGGTCCCGCACTGAGAAGAGCAAGACGTCGCATGTCCGGGTACACCACCACCCACGCAGCCTCGTCTCTGTCGGGAAGGTGTAGTGGCCGAAACTGTGCCCGAAAATCTGCCCGAGTGTGGCCGAAACCAGCGTCCGAAAGTTTTCGAACGTGCCAGAGTGTGACTGAAATTCTTGGTTCGAACCCACATCGATTTACAATATCGGTCACAACTTCGGTCATACTACGTTTTTCGACGACAATTCCGGCCACGGTTTCGGTCGCCGGTTTTTTCGGTCACGTACCTTTTCGGCTGACAGGGGCGGGGCTGCATGTCACCACCCCTCACAATCGGGGGCGCGCAAACATGGATTAGCGATCCATAGATTAGGCGCGCGGTCGCCAAATCCATGGGACGGGGGAGGTGCCCTCCCCAAAATGCGGCCGGTGCCGCCTCGTTCGGCGGCGGCAATCTGCGATTCCCCATGGAAACGGGACCCGTCGCTGATCCACGCCCCCTTGATCCATGTTTGCGATCGCCTGACACAAGACGAGGCCAGGACAGGGACAAGAACCTGGCCACTCGTCGGGCCTATAGGGGCCCCCGCAGATCCATGCGGCTCGAACAAACGCAGCAGAAAGATGGGGCCCGGCCTGGCGCTCGGTGGGGGGCCACATGCGAACCCTACCCCTCCCCCCCCCACACGATTTCAGAGGCGGGGGTCACTTCGCTCGGGAGCGAAGTGGAAGAAGTGAACCCCACCCCACCCCCCTGAGAAATCGTGGCGGGTGGGGGTAGGGTTCGCATGCGGCCCCCACGCTCTGGCCTTGACGCTCCGCAGCGTTGCCTGTTCTTGCCGCCACGTCGGACCTCCGCCTCTGCAGGATGCCTCGGGCGCCGCGGCCGTCCGGAGCGCCTCGGAACACTCCGAGAGCGTTCCGGAGCGCTCTGGAACGACCCTCGGCGGCGAGCCCGGGGGGGGGGGAACCGTGAAGGAGAAGGGCCTCCGCAGAAGGCTCGGAAGTCCCCCGGCCTTCTGAAAAAACAATGTGTTCCGAGCCTCCCCCGAAGACGCAGAGAAGGACTTCTCGGAAGGCGCGAGGGCTTCCGAGTGGCCCCGCCGCCTTCCGAGAAGGCCTGCTCCTTCTTGCTTCCCCCCCTCCCCCCGATCATTGGGTACCGACTCCTGTTCGGTCGCGATCGGTAGCGACCGATCGGCACTCCAGATCGGTCGCGACCGATTGGTCGCGACCGGCACCGGAACCTGGAGCAAGATCGGTAGCGCGACCGATCTCGCCGCCGGCGACTGGAAAGAAAATTCCCGATCCCAACGATCAGGGCCGCTCGCCGCCGAGGGCTGTCCCGGCGCCGCCCGGCCCCAGAGCCAGGCGCCGCCCAACAAAAACACCCAACAAGAACAGAAAAAAAAACACAAAAAACAAAAAACAAAAAAAAAAAAAAAAAAAAAAAAAAAATCGCGGCGGCCCGTGAGCACCTATGACTGGCCTCCGCCAGAGGCCGCCCCGCCCAGCCCCGGGGACCGAAGACAGCGCAGGATGCGGGGGCAGGGCCCGATCCCGGATCACTGCATCTGGCCATCGCTCGAACGTCCATTCCCCGTGCAGTTGTCGATTTCGTGCGCGCTTGTTTGGGAAATGATCCAGAATGCTCCTTGACGGTCCTCGCCGAGGAAAAATGCACACGTCCGAGCGATGCCAAGGCATACCCAGGCCCCCTCGGGCAATGGAAAGATCACGACGGACGGGTTTTCGCCATGTTCGGCCGCTGGGGGACCTCGCCGGGCCTCGGGAGCGTGAAAGAACGACTCAGGATGAAAAACAGGTCCTGGGGAGGGGGTCCAGACTCCTGGGGGTCGACGTCATGCAAAATCATGACGTCGGGGGTCTGGGTACAGGAATTTGTCCAGTTGCGACCGACGAGATCGGTCGCTACCGATCTAGCTTCAAACTTCTGTATCGGTCGCGACCGACTGGCTTCAAACTCGGTCGCGACCAATCGGTCGCGATCGGTGGCGACTGGTCGCGACAGATGTTGGGATCGGTCGCGATCGGTCGCGACCGATCTAGGGTCCCGATCGGTCGCTACCGATCGCGACCGAACAAAAATCGATATCCCATGATCAGGGGTGGGCAGAGGTCAAGATCCGAAGGGCGTCGGGGAAAAAACGCGTTCATCGGAGGAGAATGCCATGCCTGGCCAGGGGCATCCTGGGCCGACATGGTGCATGCGCACCCCCGGCGCCGAGGCCAGGAGGGTGCTACCCTAAGATCCGACGCCGCGAAAAGGTACAACATCGAAAAACATCACGACCAGAGTCCTTGGCCCAACCTCCAAATGGCGGCGCGCAGAGGGGGGGTGTAGGGGGAGGGGGGGGGCTTCTTAGAAGGAGGCTGCTTCTTAGAAGGCGCGGGACTGACATCTACAGACAAGGCCCGCGCCTTCTAAGAAGCGGCCTCCTTCTAAGAAGCCTTCCCCCCTCCCCCTGTACCCCCCCCCCTTCTGCGCGTGGCCGACACTTAGCCCTGCCTACATTTCGCTGGCCGGATCGATCCGCGAAGTACGCCTGGCGTGAGAGAAAAAATGATACCAGAGGTAAACCCCAATCGTAATCTTTTAAGGGCTGTAAGGCTACAGGGCTATATGGGCTCTTGGGCGCTATATGGGCAATTGGGCAATATGGCTATATGGGCTATAGGGCTATAGAGCTATTGGGCTATAGGGCTATAGGGCTATAGGGCTATAAGGCTATAGGGCACCCGGGCACCCCCAGACACGCCCGGACACCCGGGCACCCGGGCACCCAGGCACCCAGGCACCCCCGGGCACCCGGGCACCCCCGGGCACCTGGGCACCTGGGCGTGCGGCGAAAATCGGCGGCAAATCTAACCTAACCATATGGATCTGCTAGGACCCCTACAGAGGCAAGCTCTGATTGGGGAAAATGCGACGCCTGATCCCATGGATTTCACCATCCCGGAGCCCAAGATGGCCCTGGCAAGGCCGGATCGACCCGCGAAATGCGCACGGCGTGAGAGAAAAAAAAAAAAGGGCGACGCTTGGATCCCGCCGATTTCACCATCCCGGAGCCCAGGATGGCCCTGGCCAGGCATGATGGGAGTGGTTTGCAGGGGCGCTCAACAGAGTAGGAGGAGGAGGAGGCGGAGGAGGAGGAGGAGGAGGAGGAGGAGGAGGAGGAGGAGGATAAGGAGGAGGAGGAGGAGGACAGGACCCAGGACCCCCAGCGCCATGTTTTCCGCTGCCCGCCGTGGGCCCCGGAGGTCTCGAGCGCTTCCCTTGGGGCAGGTCTTTTGTCCAGCCTCCTCCCGAAGCCTTGCTCTTGGCGTTCCCAGGGCCGGTCGAGTTCGGTGGCAACGCATGGGAGCCTCCCATACCATCTGGTCGGCCCATGCGACTCGACGCCAATCGACGCCAGTCGAGGCTGATCGACGCTGATCGACGCTAGTCGAAGCTACATCGACGCGAAATCGACGCTCTCCGACGCCGAATCGGCGCTATCTCCTCGACTCCCCGACGCGAATCGACGGCTGCCGACGCTAGAAAAACGGAATCGAGAGGGTAGACCAGGCGCCCCTGTGACTCGCCGCCGACTTCTTGACGTTCCCGGGGCCGGTCGAGGGGCCCCCCCGTGGCCGAGAGCGGCCACAGGCCCCCCGCCGTGAGTTCTGCCACGACGACACGGCGGGGGCCCTGGCCCTGCGGCTCTCCGGGCAGCGGAGGACGTACACGACGGCCCCGCCCAGGTACGCGAGGAGCACCCCGAGCAGCCGCGGGAGCATGACCTCCACGAGCGGGCCCGGGGCGACGAGGAGGAAGTGGGCCGCGGGCACGAGCCCGAGCAGCCCGCAGGCGGCGAAGACCTTGCACGAAGAGGAGAGAGAGAGAGAGAGAGAGAGCCACCGCCCCCCTAGAGGGGGGGTGGGGAGATCGAACACTCAGGAGGCAACTACTGGGAAATCTTCGCAGGAAGGATTCAGGAAGATTAAGCCCCGATGGGGCGCTGTTACGCCAAATTGGGCCTCGCATTAAGCGGGACTAAGCCGGATTAAGCGGGATTGAGCCGGATGAAACGGGATTAAGCGGGGTCACGCCAGATTAAGCCGGACTTCGGACCAGGGCGAAATCAGAATTTGACCTCCCAGGAGCTGCATCCGAGGAGCACCTTCGAGGATCCGGCTTCTCATTTTCGCTGGGCGCTCTCAGAAGCCCCTGGACCACTCCATGCCCAGCCCCTGCCGAAGATTTCAGGGTCGGATCCCATGGCATTCGACAGAGAGCCCTTGGAGTTGGAATTGGGCTGGTAGTTCCAGTCCGCAGCGAAGCCGCACATCGTATGGGCTGGTGTCGTCGCCAGGAAGAGGCATCTAGAAGGCTTAGGCTGTTGGGCTTTGTTTGGGGAAACCAAAAAATACCGATACTGCTACTCCCTGGACCTCTCCCCAGGTGCGTTCTGACCAGAATATCCAAGCGAATCCCGTAGTGGCGACGAGGGCCTCCGAGGATGTCCTAAACAAAATGGAAAACGGGGCGAGGGTAGCGGTAGGGGTACCTGTTCATCCTCCGGCGTGTTGGCGAAGATTGATGATGATGATGATGATGATGATGATGATGATGATGATGATGATGATGATGATGATGATGATGATGATGATGATGATGATGATGATGATGATGATGATGATGATGATGATGATGATGATGATGATGATGATGATGTCGATGATGCTGATGATGATGCTGATGATGATGATGATGATGATGAGGATGATGATGGTGATGATGATGGTGATGAGGAGGAGGAGGAGGAGGAGGTGGAGGAGGAGGAGGAGGAGGAGGTGGGAAGGGGGAGGAGGCTTCCACAGCCGCCCTCTCCCTCCCCTTGGCGACCGCGTGAGTGTCCGCAGGACCCCGCGCGGCCCGCCCGGCGGCTCCCCTATGCATCCTGTGCGCTCGCCCTCGCCGCGGGCAGAAAGCCGTGGGGCCTCTCGGAAGCTCCTCGTCGCCACGGCTTGGCGCAGCCCGAGAGCTGGCCGGGCAAGAGATCCGGGAGGGGTGGGCAGGATAGGACAGGACCAGTCGCGAAGCGAGGTTACCGAACCCGACCGCCACGCGAGCCTGTGCTCGGGTTGAGTCGGGCGACTTGCGCTTCGGGAGGCTACCCTCGCACATCCGTGTTCAATAGCTTCTCCGAGTCGGCGTGACCCCAACAAGCTTATCTTGGGGAAGGCCGGGAGACGCGGGACCCGCTCTGAGAGGATTCGGGGCATGGGGCCCAGACCTCCTCCCGTCGGGGGATATCTTACGGCAGACACATGCGACAAAGGCATCTTGCCCTAGGAGGTCTTGGGGCACGCCCTGGGTCGTCCAGACCACCTCGCGTCGTGGAAAAGAAACACGACGGGATTACGTGTTGCTATTCTCAGCTTCGACGGTCGGGCGGGTGGTAATGTGGGATGGCCCGAATGGGGGGGTGAAGAAACAGGGCCCTAAAGGGTCCCTGTAAGGCCTCTTTGGGAGCCAGCAGGGGGCCCAAAAGGGGCCCGAAATTACCCCTTTCGGCCCTGTGTCTTCACCCCCCCCGTTGCCACCCGCCCGACTCTGAGGGCCCTCGCCGGGCCCCGGGACCGTCAATGAGACGGCCCCGGATGAAAAGCCGGTCCCCGGGGAAGGGGTCGAGACGTCCGGGGGATCCACGGTGTGACAGAGATCAAGGTGTCTGGTGTCCGAACTCTTCGTCGATCTCCGACCCGGGGCCATCGGAGGACAAGAAGTTTCCGCGGAGCACCTGCCGGCAGGCAGAGTCTGATCTGCACGACGCTTTGAATAAGCCGACGAGGTTCCTTTCTTCACCGCTCTGTGCGTGAGGGGGAGAGGGTTTTCATGTGACGTGTGCTTGGCGCGCCTGCCGTGCAGAGTAACCCCTTATCAGAATGAGCACCCTGACACGAAGCCCTCTCTCGCAGGCGCACCCGACGGGGAATGGGATCGACCGAGGCAGGGCTGTTGACTTCACGCCAGGGGCCGATGGTGGACTCGAGCCGTGGGGCTCAGGGTGGTTGTGCCTCCCCTGGGGATTTGCGATCCTAACATCCCCGAAAACAGATGTGGAAATGTCCATTGGCCAACACAGGAAAGTATAGGGGCCCAGCTCGGGGAGTCACACGACGGGGCAGCCATCCTCGAAAGGAGTGCAGTCCGAGCAGCCCCCCACCCCCCCGCTGGGGGAAGGCCCACTCCTTCCTCGCCCGGCGAGCGAGGCGCGGAGAGTGGCGGCAGAGAGCTGCAGCGATGCTGGAGCCTCTTCTGCTGCACCGCAGGGCACGCTTACCCGCCCCCCCGCCGATGCGTCTCCCACGAGTGGTGCCACCATACTGCGAGCCGTGGGTCGGGCATGCCCTCCTACAGGCGGAGCTTGAGAGAAGAACGAAACACAGCCCAAACATGGTCAAGAATTGCCAGAGGATCGTCGGACAAATCGCTCCCATATCCTGTGTGGGCGGTTCTCTGCGTATCCCCGAGGGTGGAAGGGCGTGCCCGGCCGAGGGCGAGCTCCGTCCTACCCTGCAGGGGCCGCAGGGGCAGCCCGAGAGCGGCCGCCACGGGGCGCTTTCGGCCGTGCCGCCCGCCCGGGGCCCACACGCGCACCTTCCTCTTCGGTTGTGATGCTCCAACCCACTTTGGCCTCGACGACCAGAAAGAACTTCGAGCACCAAGGAAGTACCGAAACTTGAGGGTCTTCCCGTGTCGGGCCCTGGGAGGCCATGCTCGTTCGACACTGTTTCTACATTTGTTCCTGGGAGCTCGAAATCATCTCTGGGATGTGGCCCTCAAGTGCGATGGGGGCAACACAACTCTTCACGTCCCCGCGGCACTCCCCAAGAGGGGGGGGGCCGCGCCCTCGAGGAGAGCCCCCGAGGGCCGTGGCCACCCTGGAGGCCGCCCCTCGAGGAGAGCCCTCGAGGGCTCGCGCGGAGGCCCCAAGAGGGCCACCTCGAAGGCCGTGGCCTCGAGGAGAGCCCTCGCAGGCTGTGCACCCTCTTCAAGCCTTGAGTCGGGCCTGTCCTCCTACAGGGGAATCTTGGACGAAGAGAAACACATGGTCCAAAAATGTCACACAGTGGCAAAAAAAAATGCTCCAAAAATCGTCCCCCGACTATTGTTTTACTATCTTTGGACATACCCCCTGTGGAGGGACAGGCCCGACTAAGCTCGAGCCCCCGCGGCACTCCCAGAGGGGGGGCGCGCCCTCGAGGAGCGCCCTTGGCGGAGCCCTTCGGCGGAGGCTGGGGACGCACTGGCCCGGGTCAGTGCACGCCCAGGGCAGTCGGGCGCTGCATGACCCTGCTAGATCCTGCGGGATCCTGCTCGGGCGGGTGGCCCCGCGGGGGGGGGACCCAAAGAGGGGGGGTGCAGAAGCAGGCCCCAGAGGAGCCCTTGAGGGCCTCCCGTGGGAGCCAGCCGCGGCCCAAAAGGAGCCCTGAAGTACCCCTTTGAGGACTTCTTCTTCACCCCCCATTTAAGCCACCCCCCACTACCACACGCCCGACCTGCGGGGTCCTGCGCGCTGGCCCGGGTCAGTGCCAACCCTGGCTTGGCAGGACCCTGCAAGATCCAGCGCTCCGGAACCGACCCCTGGGTTTCACTGACCCCCGCCTCCAGCCTCCCGGCGGGGGTGGAGCGGGGGGGCGGCTCTGGCGACGGAATGCCCCAGCAGAAAAAGACATATCGGCCGAAATGGAACGGCCAGCTTCTGCTGCTGGGCGGACTCGGAGGATTTGGGACGCGAGAAGCCGCCCGCAACTTCTCGCGGCGTGCACCGGGGTCACTGAGAGCTTCACACATCTTACGGTGTCCCTAGACGCGCGCTGGAGCCTCCACGACTGCTCCAGATTCTTCTGGACATCGTGGGACGTATCTCCAGGCTTCTGGAATCGCATCGAAGTGCGCAGATTGACCACGATGCATTAAGCTTGAACATGCATGTCGATTGGAGAAGAGCCGTCAAGCCCCGAGGAGAAGGTGGTGGTAGGAGGGGGGGGCCTTCGAACGACGATGGGAGGGGGCTTCTGAGAAGGCTACTAGCTTCTCAGAAGCTATCCTGGCGCCTGAGAAGGCTTCTTAGAGGCCCATGAGGCCCTTGTAAGAAGGCCTCTGCGATTCTACCCAGACCCCCAGATGTTTCACAACGTCGACCCCCATAGGTCTCCAACCATTCCTAAGGACTGGCGTTTCATCCTGTGTCGCTTTCTGACGGTCCTGGAGGCCTGGGAGGGACCCCAGGAGCAGAACGTAGCAACAACAACGAACAAACAACGCCCATCGTGAGTTGTGACGACGCGAAGGGGCCTGTTAGAAAGAAACCAACTCACGGATGATCTTGGCTGTCCCCATGGCGCCCAATAGCGCGCCCATTCTCACGCAAAACGGACGTAATGCATCTCCCTCGCATGGCAGTATTGGTCGCTAGTGGTCGCTATCGGGCGCCATTTGAATACGGCGCCCTTGGGCGCTACTTGGCGGTATTGAGTGCTGTCGGGCGCCATTCGCCGACATACATTCAATCGAAGTCGAGCGGAGGCTTCCGTGATTTGCTATCTGAGTCTGGAGTGCGCGCCGCCAGACCTTCGCCCGCAGCGAGTCGGGCGCCGAGGACCAGCTCGCCACGGCGGCCATCACGCAGATCTCGGCCTCCCCGCCGCCCTCTGGGCTCTCCCGTGTGCCCTCCCCGCGGTGGACTTTCATTTCGGCCGCCTTCGTGTCGGCCTCTTTCGATCGGTCCTATGTCGGCTCGTCCTCATCCGCCTCGTCCTCTTTCGTTTCCTTCCCGAAATCTGGACGCATCGAAACCAGGCGGATCGAAGCGGACGAATCGGAGCGGACGAATCGGAGCGGACGAAATGCAGCGGACGAATCGAGACCCGGCCGAGCACTCTGACTGCATGACACGGAACCCTTCCCGCTCGCCCATGGCCGATGACCCTCGGCACGCGCGTCGGCCCCAGCGCGCGCCTGCCCACCAAGAAGCCCTTCAACACAGCAGGGGCCCGACCACAAGAAGCCTTCCACACGAAACCATAGCCTTGGGTCGGGCGTGTCCCCCTACAGGGGGATTTGGGACGAAAAATAAAAAGTGGCCCAAAATACCCCAAACGTGTCCAAAAATTCAAAAAATCGCCCCCAGACTAAAATACTCCTCCTGTAGAGGGACAGGCCCGACTTAACCAAGCCCTGAGACCCCAGGACCTCCATGCGATTTCGGGTGTGGGGCCGTCGCGCTTCCCGCAGCCAAGCCATCCAAACCCAGGACATCCGGGGCACCCCGGAGGTGAGCAGGGTGCTTCTTGGCATGGGTCTCCGCTCTGCGACGCAGGCGGTGCGGTGAGGGGCGGCACGGGCTGCGTGCTGTCGGCGGAGCGGAACGGGATAGACATCCAGCTTTGGACAGCACACGCCCTCGGGGCGATCGGCCTGAGCTCCGGCGCCGCTTATCTTCGCGCTGGGCGTCTCCGCCTGGCCTCGGGACCCGAGGCACTCGTGGATCGGTCCGGCTCGAAGAATGCCACTTCAAGCTAGGATTCCTGGCTCTGGTCGTGGCTCCCTGACATCGGATCTCAAGGCCCCCCCTGCCATTCCCCTCCCCCTTCCCCCGACATCCACATGTGTTCCCGGCGCGGACCCCCAGAGGCCCGGACCCATGCCCCCGGGCCCCGCTTCTCGTGCTGGGTCGCTCCGTCGTGGCCCTCGCCTCCTCTCTCTCCCACTCCCTCTCTCTCCCTCTTGCCCTCTCTCTCCCTCTCTCACTCCCTCTCTCTCCCTCGTTCTCTCTCCCTCGTTCCTTCCCTCTCTCTCTCTCTCACTCTCTCGCTCTCCCTCGTTCTCTCTTTCTCTCTCTCTCTCTCTCTCTCTCTTTCTCTCAAGCCCCTTCCCCCGCCCCCTCCAGCACTCCCAGGAGGTACACGCTCCGGGCCGCCGGCATGCACTTGAATCCCAGGGCGATGCCCACCGCCAGCGAGGCGCCGAGGAGCAGCACGACCCCTCCCAGGTCGAAGTTCGGGCGGCGAGCCGGGGTGGGAAGTGAGAAGGAGAGGGCCCTCGCACCCTCGCAGAAGGCTAGGAGGCAACTACTGGGAGGCTTTCGTCGGAAAGATTAGGGAGGATTCAGCCCCTTTTGGAAGCTATTGCGCCGGAGTGGGCCTCGAATTAAGCCGGATTAAGCCGGATTAAGCGGGATCAAGCGGGATAAAAGCGGGATTAAGCTGGATTAAGCCGGACTTCGGACCAGTGCAAAATCAGAATTTGACCCCCCAGGAGTTGCATCCCAAAGAAGGCCTCCGCAGAAGGCTCGGAAGCCCCCCGGCCTTCTGTGAAGTTCTCTAAGCCTGCCCCGAATCCACAAAAAGCAAAAACTTCTCAGAGGGCGCGAGGGCTGCTGAGAAGTCTCGCCGCCTTCCGAGAAGGCCTTCTCCTTTTCACCTCCCCCCCTCGCTCGCCGCCGAGAAGTAGAAGCAGCCGTAGCAGACGGCCTCGACGTCGCAGTGGCGGGTATGGTAGAAGGCAGACCAGAACAGGCAGTTCACCGTGACCAGGGCGAGTCCCACCACCAGCCACCCGTCGAGCCCGTCGGCGCCTATGCCCCCCTCCTCGGGAAACCGCGCATCTTTTCTCGGAGGTCCGCGCGGGCCCTCGGGCGCTTGTGCCTGCGCTACTGCTTTCGCCCTTTCCCGAGGAGACAAGAGGGGGGGAGGGAGGGAGGGGAGGGGAGGGGAGGAAGAGAGGGAGGAGGGAGGGGAGGGTGGGAGAGAGAGAGAGAGAGGAGGGCGGAGAGGGAAAGGGAGGGCCCCCGAAAGCCCGTGTTCGTGCAGCCTTTCTCTGCTCCTCCCCCGCTCCTGGGAGAGCACGGCCCGCAGCCAGGCCGCCACGACGAGGATGCCCAGCGCGTGGCTCCAGATGTTCACCGTCTCGTTGTGCAGCGAGGCCGCCGACCGGAGGCAGGGCAGGCAGCCCTCGGTGTCCAGGCGGTACCCCCCGAGGATGAAGGGCCTCCCTTGGCGGCGCGCGCAGGGGGGTAGGGGGAGGGGAGACGGCTTCTTAGAAGCACCCCTGCTTCTTAGAAGGTGCGGGCCTTCTCTGTAGATGTAAGGCCGGCGCCTTCTAAGAAGCAGCCTCCTTCTAAGAAGCCTTCCCCCCTACCCCTACCCCCTTCTGCTCGCCGCCAACTCCCGCAGGTCGGACCGACCCTCATCACTGGAGACTGGGACTTTCCGGACGCGACCGACGAGATCGGTCGCCATCGATCGTGCTTCAAGTTTCGACATCGGTCGCGACCGCTTTGGAGTGCCGATCGGTCGCTGCCGATCGCGACGGCAAAACATCGATATCCAATGTGAGTATTATCCGATCCCCATCCCCAGCGGCGTGGCCTGGGCCCCACTGGCCGATTTACCCCCCTAGATGGGACATAGGTCGTTCCCTTCGGGTTTTGAGGGGTGTAGCTCAGGGAAGGAGACGGGCAGCACAGCGGGGGGGTTAGAACTAGAACATCAGCTCACGCGGCTGGCTTTTCCCGGCGCCTCCCGGCGCCCCGGAGGCAGCGGCGGGGCCGGCACCCGCTGCGCGCATGCAGGCAGGTCTCGCACACGTCGTTAATTTCTAGTCGTGCTCATTTCTAAGTGTGCTCGTTTCCAAATATTCCTGGCCCCCCAGTGGCCAGGAAGAGGCCCAGGACAGAGCAATTAGAAATGAAAGGATCTTGGCCCTCCAGATAATCAAAGACCTTTCGAAGAATTAGAAGTGAACCATGTGCGCCCCTCCCCCCCATTTCCCAGTTGTCCCCCCTTCGTCCGCGCCGACTCCTGGGACAGACGAAACCTTTCGACCCGGGCGTCGAACAAAGCAAAAAATCGCGACGGCCGCTTGTTTTACGTTGTTGCTGCCTCTGGAGCCTGGCACTGCTGGCCGCGGGGCCGTCAAAAAACAACTCGGGATGCTGAACCGGCCCCAGGGGAGGGAAAAAATCCAATTGTTGGGATCACGCCACAAGAAACTGCGATGTCGGAGGAGAGGGGACGGCAGAGGGGGGGGACAGAGAAAGAGAGAGAGACAGAGGGAGAGATAGCCCCACGGCGGCAACGAAGCCAGCCACATGCGGCCGACATCGTGACCCTCAACTTCCCAATGACCCTCCCCCTCTCGTCCGACCCCAGACCCCCGACGTCACGATTGCTTCCAAGCGTGGATCCCCAAAGGCCAGGCCTGATTTTCATCCTAACTGGCTTTTGTTAACGGTGTGGGTACGCAACGACGAGGGCCCCTAGAGCCAGAAAGAACAAAAATCCACCTGTCGTGATTTTCTCACGAAGCGAGAGAATCTGGATGTCATCCGACCCGAAGCTCCTCCTCCTCCTCCTCCGCCTCCTCCTCCTCCTCCTCCTCCTCCTCCGCCGCCTCCGCCTCCGCCTCTTCTCCTCCTCCTTCTCCTCCTCCTCCTCCTCCTCCTCCTCCTCCTCCTCCTCCTCATCCTCCTCCCCCTCCTCCCCCTCCTCCTCCTCTTCCTCCTCCTCCTCCTCCTCCTCCTCCTCATCCTCCACCTCCTTCTCCATCTCTCTTCATTCTAAAGAACTCCTTCCTGCCGCAGCCCCAGACGTGTCGGTAGTGTGGGCCGGGCGTTTCGCCTGAGACTTCCTGTGAAGGTACGATCCTGAAGCTCAAAACTGGCAACAGCTTCACACATAGAGGGCGGCCCTTTTCAAGTTGTGGCTCTCGCCTTGGCGCCGCGCAGACTCCTCGAAGAAATGCAGCAGCTCCAAAGATAGAGGGCAGCCCGTTTTCAAGGTGTGACTCTCGCTTTCGCGCTGCGCACATTCTTCTGTTAAAAGTGTGCAACAGCTCCGAGGCTGGAGGGCGGCCCGTGTTCAAAGTGCTGCTATCGCCTTAGCGCTGCGCAGATTCGTCTCAAAAGTGCACACCAGGTTTCAGGATTCGTGCTGCTGCAGTCTCAGGAATTGTCTTCTCGCGCGACTTGAGAGCGTCATGACGCAACAGTCACGCTGATCCGCGGTGGTGAAGCCAGGAAGTGCATTCTGGCGCGATTTACGATTGTCAGGACGCAACAGTCACGTCGATTCGCGGCGTTGGTACGATTGAAGCTTCTCAGACGTTTGCCCTCCAATTGGACACTTCCCGCAATGAAACAATCCTTGTCAGGGCCTGCATAAGGAAAAACTTGGAGGGAGGCTATTTTGCAACAGCGTTGATACGCCTTGGATTTACACTTGTCATCCTCCACCTCCCCGTCGTCCTCCTCCCCCTGTCTCTCCTAATCCTCTTACTCCTCCCCTCTCCCCCTCCTCCCTCCTCCTTCTCCTCCTCCTCCTCCTCCTCCTCCTCCTCCTCCTCCTCCTCCTCCTCCTGCTCCTCCTCCTCCTCCTCCTCCTCCAGCCCCCCCTCGACCGAGCCTCCTCTGGTACTCGGGCACGTCCTCCCACGATCCCAGCGCTGGCCCCCTCAGCCAGCCCGCGCTCCGGCCGAGCAGCGGCGCACCGCAGCCGTCACCGCAGCCGGCAGCGTGCTCGGCGGGCGCTGTCGCCCTGTGGCGTCTCTCCCGCGTCTGTGCGTTGGTCATCGCCAGGCGGGCCCGGGCGCCCGCCGCGCGGAGGCTCCCCGGAAGACCCCCTCGCGCCGTGAAAAGGAGCCTCGTTGTCGCAGCGATGAGCAAGGAAGAGAACGAGGAGGAGCAGCGGCAGCAGGCAGGCCAGTCGGAGACGCAACAGTGAGGAGTTCGATCTTGATAAGGGAGTATGTACACTGTACACATGCGTGCATGCATACACGCATATACGCATTGCATACAACACAAACGATGCATACATTGCATACAACAAAGGCATATGCATAATTACACGCATGCGCGCATGCGTAAGAGGCCCAGGATGGAACAGTTAGAAATGAAAGGATCTTGGCCCCAAAAAAATCCAGGAATTTTCGAAGAATTAGAACTGAGCAATGCGTAACATCCCGGCACTGGCTACCCAGTGAGATGCTTTGCGCCCCGGCTGGCCCTCCGTGATCTTGTGACCTCTGGCCGACACTCCCTGCGCGGCTCCGCCGTGTGCGTTCCCTCTGCTGCGCCCCCGGCCTCTCGATGCGCCCCCTCTCACCACAGCAACAACGCTCTCGACCGCCCATGGGGGACGAGCTCCCCCGTGCTCCGTCCTCCTGGCCCCTTCCCGCCGAAACCGCAACAGCTGGTCCCTGTGTCCGTGGCCTGTTCCCTAGACGTGCCGTCCGCATGGCGTTCCTTCGCCTTTGTGTCCGCATTTGCCTTGACTTCATTTTTACCTCCACCTTTCCGGCAAAGCGCGGCGACGTGCCCGACGTACCGCAAGAAACCATTCACATTTCCCAACCCATCCTGTGGTGTTGGGTCCTCGTTTCGGCGCACCCTCTCACACGTCTCGTGGCCCCATAAGATGCTCCACCGAAGACGCCAAAGCCAGTGTTCCCATGCGTCCCCGACACCCATTTCGGAACACCGCTCACAACACGCTTCGTGGCCACATAGGGGAGCTCCACCGAAGACCCAAGTGCCGGTGTTCGCATGCGTCCCCGCCGCCCCCATTCGGAACACCCCTCATACGCTTCGTGGCCCCATAGGGAGCTCCACCGACTACTCCAACGGCGGTATTCGCGTGCGTCCCCGCCACCGATTCCGGCACACCCCGCACACGTTTCATGGCCCCATGACCAGCTCCACCGAAGACCCCAGTGCCGGTGTTCGCATGCGTCCCTGCCACCCATGCCTGCACACCCCTCACATACTGCGTGGCCCCATAGGGGGCCCCACCAGAGGCCCCAGTGGCACGTTCGCATGCGCCCCCACCACCCATTTCGGCACACACCCCGCACACGTTTCGTGGCCCCATAGGGAGCTCCACCGAAGGCCCCAGTGGCGGTGTTCGCGCACGTCCCCGACACCCATGTCGGAACACCCCTCACACGTTTCGTTGCCCCAAAGGGAGCTCCACCGAAGGCCCCAGTAAAAGTGTTCGCATGCATCCCTGCCACCCACTTCGGAACACCCCTCACACACTGCGTGGCCCCATAGGGAGCTCCACAGAAGACCCCAGTGGCGGTGTTCGCATGCGTCCCCGCCACCAATTTCGGAACATCCCTAACACGTGTCGTGGCCCGATGGGGGAGCTACCCCCGAAGACAACAGTGCCGGTGTTCGCATGAGTCCCCGCCACCCCCTTTCGGCACACCCTCTCACACGCTTCGTGGCCCCATAGGGGAGCTCCACCGAAGACTCCAGTGGCGGTGTTCGCATGCGTCCCCGCCACCCATTTCGGCATACCCTCTCACAGGCTTCGTGGCCCCATGGTGAGCTCCACCGAAGGCCTCAGTAGCGGTGTTCGCATGCGTCCCTGCCACCCACTTCTGCACACCCCGCATACGATTTGCGGCGCCATAGGATGCTCCACCGAAGACCTCAGTGCCGGTGTTCGCATGCGTCCCCGCCACCCATTTCGGCACACCCCTCACACGTTTCGTTGCCCCAAAGGGATCCCCACCGGAGGTCCCAGTGGCACGTTCGCATGCGCCCCTGCCACCCATTTCGGCACACCCCGCACACGCTTCGTAGCCTCATAGGGAGCCCCGCCGAAGGCCCCAGTGGCGGCGTCCGCGAGCGTACCCGCCACCCATGTCGGCACATCCCTCACACGTTTCGTTGCCCCATAGGGAGCTCCACCGAAGACGAGACCCACAACTACGTTACGCCTGCAATCCGTCTCTTTCCCGGAGTCCTTCCAACTTCTCCCTGTTGGTTATTTCGAACTCCCCTTTGTTAGCATCCTCTTACTGTTTGGCCTTGTTAGCTTCGGTGTTTTCCGCGTCGGTTCACCTCCCACTGAGGACTCGGGCCATGCGTCGCCAGCTTCGCCGTGTAAAGTCCCATCCATTGTTTCAAATGTGTCTCCCAAGTTGTTCTGCTCCTTGCGATGGTAAGGGCTAACCTGCGCCAGTGCGTTGCACAGCTTTTCGATCCATGTACGGAATGTGGCATTGTCCCCCGCGAGCGCCTTGAGCTACTGCGTGGCCGTGTATCGCTAACTGGCTTCTGTCCTCATCCACTTAGCTCTTTCTTGCGCCCTGCCATTATTCCGTTACCTTGATAGCATGGACACCATATTCATATGTACGTCCTCCTCCTCCTCCTCCTCCTCCTCCTCCTCCTCCTCCTCCTCCTCCTCCTCCTCCTCCTCCTCCTCCTCGTCATCCTTCTCCAGCTCCTCCTGCTCCTCCCCGCCCGCCCCCACCCACCCCTCTCCCGCCGCGAGCGCGAGGAGGCAGCGGGCGCCGCGCCTCGGGTGCGACAAGCGCCCCTGGTACATCGCCAAGACTCCGCCAGGCTGCAGCAGAGAGGGCCGCTCCTCTAGAGGCACACGAGGGCAGGAGGGAGGAGGAGAAGGAGGCGGAGGAGGAGGAGGAGGAGGAGGGGGAGGAGGAGGAGGAGGAGGAGGAGGAGGAGGAGAGGAGATGGAGGAGGGGGAGGAGGAGGAGGAGGAGGAGGAGGAGAGGAGGAGGAGAGGAGAAGAGGAGGAGGAGAAGGAGGAGGAGGAGGAGGAGGAGGGGGAGGAGGAGGAGGAGGAGAGGAGGAGGAGGAGGAGGAGGAGGAGGAGGAGAAGCGAGGAGAAGCGAGGATGTGAGGGAAGAGGAGGGGATGAGGAGGGGGGGAGAGGAGAGAGGCTGTGGTGGATCGCGCTCAGCGCAGGTGAGATCAGAAGAGCTAAGCCCCGTCGGACTCTGGATCGGAGTCTTCACCCGACCCGTCGCGACGGGCTCGCCCTCCCAGGGCCTGGACGCGGGGCAGATCGCCATCGAGGAGACCGAAAGCCTGCAGCACAGTCCCCCTCGACGCAGAGCCTGCCGTGGCGTGCACGCTGGGGCCACCGAAACCCCTCCGCCTGACGGTGGCGGAGACAAACTTGCCTGGCTCAGCGTCTCCCCGTCCACGCTGGGCCAAGGACCTGGGAGGCTGAGAGGGGCGACCCCCCGTGGCGGACTTATGGCTTCAACGAACAATGGAAAAAACAATGTCTGAGGGGGGGGGCGGAGGGGATGGCAGCATCCCGTGTGGATTGACGTGCCAGCAGCGGCAGCGTCAGAAGGAGGAGAAGGAGGAGGATCAGGAGAACCCTGAGATCCTGGCGTCGCAATGTTGTGCCACCAAGCGATTTCGCCTCGTTTCGGGCCACGGGGCAATCACTGATCGATCCGGCTCGATCAAAAACGCAGAGAGATGTGGTCCAGGGCTCCAGGCAGGGTGTTCCGAGATGTTGCATGCTTCGCAACGCCGGGTCTCAGCGGGGAAGGAGCAAGGCGGAAGAAGAAGAAGAACAATAATAAGAGAACGAGGAGGAATACGAAGAAGAAGAAGGAAGAGGAGACGGAGAAAAAAGGAGGAGGACGAGGAGGAGGAAAAGAGGACGAGGATGAGGATGAGAACGAGGATGAGGATGCGGCTGCGAATGGGGATGGGGATGAGGATGAGGATGAGGATGAGGATGAGGATGCGAATGCGGATGCGGCTGAGGATGCTGATGATGATGCTGATGATGCTGATGATCCTGATGATGATGATGCTGCTGCTGATGAGGATGAGGATGAGGATGAGGATGGGGAGGGGGGGAGGAGGAGGAGGAGGAGGAGGAGGAGGAGGAGGAGGAGGAGGAGGAGGAGGAGGCGGAGGAGGAGAAGTTGTGTTCGGCTGTCAGACTTGTGTGCCGCAGGGGGAGCAGGAGGAGAAGGGGGGCGGGCGGCGCGTGGGCCTCTGGTGGGCCCCCTGGGGCCATCGGGGGGGAGGGACGGGGAAGCCTCCGACGGGGCACCCTCCGACAGGCAGAGGCGCCTCCTTCCGCGTGCCTGCCGTGGCAGCGGCCTGCGCGCCTGGGGCCGTCCCCCCCACCCCCCCCCGCCGAGCGCTGCTCCCCGGAAGAGCCGCGCACCGGAGCTCGAAGCCCCGGCGGACGGCCGTTCCCTCTGCTCCGAGGCCGCCGGAGTGCGGCACGGTGCACTGCTGCTGCTCCTCGCCTCTCCTGTCCTCTCCTGTCCTCTCCTGTCCTCTCCTCGCCCCTGGGTCTCGCAGAATACACGCACACGCACACACACACACACACACACACGCACACAATGGTACCAACACAAACCTCGGAGGCCCACGCGGAGGCCTCCACCCCATCCCCGAGGCCCGGACTTCGCATCCTGACCCGAAGTCTGGCGGCCCCAGGTCCAGGGCATCCGTGGGATGGCCACAAAAATCTCCCGTCGTGGCTTTGGAACGACGCGACGGCGCGAGGAGGGTCTCTGTGTTGACTGCGTGCGTGACTCGCCATCGTCCGGACGTCCATTCCCGGTGCATGTTTCGGCTTCGCGCGTAGAAGGCTTCGCGAGATGCCTTGAGATGTTCCCCGATGGTCCTCGCCGAGAGAGAAAGCACACGTCCGAGCGATGCCAAGGTGAGGAGAAACATCGACTCGGAATCGACGATCCATGCCCGACAGATCAGCGATGGGCCCTCGACGGCGAGGCCGGACGCTCCTGGGCGGGACGGGCTATCGGACCCCTGTCGGCAATGAGTCGGCGATACAATCCAATGGATCGGCGGCACACTCAAGCTTAGAGTTTAAGAAAGTTTACGCTAAGAAAATGGGCATTACTCGAAGCGTGTTGTTAACCAGTCCAGGCCTAGATGCGCGGAGGTTCTACGAAGAAAAGAGGCACCAAGCAAACGCCCGGGGTCCAGTCCAGATTCTTGATCTCTCAAAAAATATCTGGAGTTCACGAAGATTGACGTTTCTTCTTAAGATTCCCGATGGTTCGGTAGCAACCCGTGGGATCCTCCCATACCATCTTGTCGGCTCTTGCGAATCGACGCTAGACGACGCTAAATCGACGCTAATCGACGCCAAATCGGAGCCAACCGACGCCAAGTCGACGCTGAACCGGCGCTATCTCATCCGCTCCCAGACGCCAATCGACGCCAATCGACGCCAAAGACAGCAGCAGGAGGGCACACCGGGCCCCCACGATATGCTACAGAACGAGGGGTGCATCCCCGCCTCACGCTGCCCCCGAGTGTGGCCGACCCCGCCCTGCCAAGGTGCGGCACCCCTCGGCGGCGAGCGAGGGGCGGAGGCGAGAAGGGGCGGGCCTTCTCAGATGACGCGGAGGTCCCCCGACTCTCCTGAGAAGTTCCCCGAGCCCTGCCCGAAGAGCGAAGCAAGACTTCTCAGAAGGCGCCAGGCAGGGCTTCTGAGAAATCCCGCCGCCTTCCGAGCAGGCCAGCCTTGCCCGAAGAATGAAAACAGAACCTCCCGGAGGGCGCGAGGGCTTCCGAGAACTCCCGCCGCCTTCCGAGCAGGCCTCCTCCTTCTCGCTTCCCCCCCCCTCTCGCTCGCCGCCCCACCTCACGTTGCCCCCGAGGGTGGCCGACCCCGCCTGCCAGGGTTGCGAGGCGGGGATTTATCCATATCCACCGCCTGGGAACCGACGTCCTGGTGCCCCAGCGGGCGGTGGATGTGGATATTCTCTTGCACAGGGTGCCTAGAGCTCCGACCAGTTTATTCCGCGTCGCACCGCACCCCCACCTCCCCGCGTCTCTCCTACCCCTCCCCAGCGTTCCCCAGCGGCCCAATGGAACCTCCGCCCAATGCCCCCTCCGCCCCGACCATTTTATTCCGCGTCGCACCGCGCCCTCCCCCTCCCCGCCGCCCCCCCCCCGCTGTCCCACCCCTTCTCAGCGTTCTGCCGCACCTTTCCCCTCATTCCCTGCCCTTTCCTGTCCACGCCCCCCACCCCAGCGTTCAGCGGCCCAGTGGAACCTCCTCCCAATGCCCCTACCCCTCCACCCCGATCGTGTTATTCCACGTCACTTCGCGCGCCCCGCCGCACCCACCCCTTCCCCGCCACCCTCCCCCCCGCCCCAGTGTTCCCCAGCGGCCCAGTGGAACCACCGCCCAATGCCTCCTCCGCACCGATAATTGTATTCCGCGTCGCACCGCGCCCCTCCTCCCCGCCCCCCATCCCTTCTCTCTTCAGCGTTCCCCAGCGGCCCAGTGGAACTTCAGCCCAGTGCTCTCCTCCGCCCCGACCATTTTACTTCGCGTCGCACGGCGCGCCCCGTCCCCGCCCCCCATCCCCCCATTCCCCAGCGTTCCCCAGCGGCCCAGTGGAACCCCTGCCCGCCGCGTGCCCCCTCCGCCTCCGTTTCGGGCCCCTGGGGAGTTCTTCGGATCCTCTGCAGACTTTTTGGGTGTTTGTTGGAGACCTCCTAGGAGCATGTTGAAAGTCTTGGAGGCCATCTCGCGGGGGGGGGTCCGTGGAGTTTACTCGAGCTCGCCCTGTCAAGCCCATCTTGCGGCCCTCGTTGGGCTCTCCTTCTCCGATTTCTCGCACCCTGTATCCCTCTCCCGTCCTCCTCCTCCTTCACCTCCTCCTCCTCCTCCTCCTTCCCCCTCCCTTCTGTGCAAGAGCCATGGCACGCGTGCCACTTGTATTTCGGCCCCCGGGGGCCCGAATATGTCCATATCCACCGCCTGCCCAGGCTCCGAAAACTGACCCTCCAGGCGGTGGATATGGATAAATTCCCGCCTCGGACAGGGTGCGGCAACCCGGTCCTCCTCGGTGTCGTCGTGGAAGAACTGGTCCAGCCAGGTCCCCGGCGCGGGCTCCTCGCGGGGCGGCGCAGCGCCCTCTGGCCCGCGGAGGCCCGCGGAGGCCTCGCAGCGATCGGCCGAAGCCTGTGAAGACCTCCGCGGATGCCTCCGAAGGCCCCCCTCCCCCTGACCCCAGGGTATCCATGCGAGGCGGGGATTTATCCATATCCACCGCCTGGGAACCGACGTCCTGGTGCCCCAGCGGGCGGTAGATATGGATATATGTCAGCCCCCGGGGGGCCCGAACATGTCCATATCCACCGCCTGCCGAGGCTCCGAAAACTGACCCTCCAGGCGGTGGATATGGATAAATTCCCGCCTCGGAATCCAGGCGTCGCAGCGTGAGCGTTTTGTTTTTCGGCGTGTTTCGACATTGGGCCGAGAAGGGGGAGGGGGGGGGGTCTGGCTCCGGACATCGGCTGAATGCGACTGTTTGCAAAAGTGCGTCCAGTGGGGGAGACTCCACCTCCTCGAAGCAGGCGCCAGAATCAGCCAAGATCTACTCCACGGGGCAGGGGGGGAGGGGGGTGCGAGGACCCGCGCCGATCGGCAAAAGAATGATTAAACAAAAGATCACTATAGTTTCGCACCAGGCGTGTTTTTTGCCCAACTTCGGGACCCAGGACCCTCACGCATCGGTCCCACTCGAGAAATGCCGCAGGAAAGCGGGCCCCACCCCAGTTGTTCCACGACGTCAGGGAAGGTCCTGTCGGGGAAAAGCACGGCCTCATGAAAAATAATGGCCACAGCTCCCGACCTCATCTTTCTGCACCACCTCTCGCAGCGCATCGATCCGGCGGAGACCCTCGGCCCGAGGCTGAGGTAGAAAACGCCTGCAGTGATACAAAACTAGACATACATACATGTCTGCATACATGCATGCATACATGTATACATGCACATATGCATAAACGCATCCATGCATGCATGCATCCATGCATACATGCATACACATATACGTACACCCACACACACACACACACACACACGCATACATCAATACTTACATGCATTACATGCGTACGTGCAAGCATACACACAGACACACATACTTACATACATACAGACATACATGCATACATCCGTCCATCCATACATACATACATGCAAACACATGCATGCATGAATGCATGCATGCATACATGTAAACAGACAGACAGACAGTCAGTCAGCCAGCCAGCCAGTCAGACATACACAGAATGACGTACATGCATGCATGCATGCATGCATGCATGCATGCATACATGTGCATGTGCAGCATATTAGTGAATGTGTATACATGTATACATACACGTGTCCACGCATGTGCTTGTGTAAATTGTAGATGCCTGGGGCGAGATGGAGGCAAAGATATATAGAGAGAGAGACCAACAAAGATAAATAAATCAAGCAATAAACAAGAAAAATAAAGAGGGAGGAGGGAGGGAGAGATAGAGAGAGGGAAAGAATGGTACATTCATCTGTACACATATATATATATAAAGGGAGAGAGAGAGAGAGAGAGAGAGAGAGAGAGAGAGAGACAGTCGTCTTCAGGAGGTCTCAACATCCAAACCCTGGGGCGCGGAGCGCCCTGTGGGCGCCGCTGGAGGCCGCGCCAGGGAATTGAGACCGCCCTGGACTACTCGTGGAGCCTGTTGAGGCAGGCTGGGACTGCTCGGGGGGGCCTGCTGAGGCCAGCCAGGACTCCCTGGGGGGGCTGTTTGTGGGCAGCCCGAAACCCTTCACCGATCCCCGATGCTCGAACCTCGACCCTCGATGCTCGAGGCTCTCGAGCCTAGATCCTCGAGACCCGATCCTCGAACCTCCAGGCTCGAGGCGCCCTCAGATCTCGAATGTACAGGCTCAAGGCTCGAGGCTCCAGCCTGGAGGCCTCGAAGCTAGACCCTCGGGCTGCCCAGGGGCTGCCGCAGACTGCCTCATCCTCCTCGCCCCCCTCACGGACTGCCCGAGGGTGTTCCCTGACAACGGCCGGGCCCTCCAGCGTCAGCGTGCTCTGGAGGGTAGACTCTCTGAAGGCGTTGCCAGGCTCGCCGATAACTTTGCGACCGACCTTCCCGGATCATTGAGTACCGATGTTTGTTCGGTCGCGAGCGGTGGCGAACGATCGGCACTCCAAATCGGTCGCGACCGATCGCGACCGATCCCAAAATCGGGCGCGACAGATGTTGAAGCAAATCGGTCGCGACCGATGCCGGAAATGGAAGCAAAGTTGGTAGCGACCGTTCTTGTCCGTGGCGACTGGCAAATTCCACTATCCAATGATCCGGGTACTCATTACCCCCCTTGGTGGCCGCCCCCGATCTGCATGGTAAAGCCCAGGTCACCCGACTTCGCGCACCGCGCGCCGCGAAGTGCGGAGCGCGGTGATCCTCGCGCCATCGCGCGCCCGCGCCGCCCCCTCGGAGAAGAGCAGCCGCTCGGCCCTGGACCGCGACGCGCACAGTCTGATCTTCTTCGCGCCCCAGCGGGAAGAGGAGGAGGAGGAGGAGGAGGAGGAGGAGGAGGGAGAAGACCCCTCTCAGTGGAGAAGCCTATCGCTCCTTCACGTGGCCCCTGGCTTTCGGGGCCGTCACTGGGATCTCCGGCGGCCCGCTTCGGGACGACCCAGGCACCCAGGGAACGCACTAGGCTAGACGCAGCTGCCGGATGGCGTCCCGAGGCTGGAAAGCCGCACACCCCTCTCAGGTGGGGAAGCGGGCATCTTCCCATCCTAGAATCATCGTGCTACAGTATGGAGCGGCGAATAGGGAACGGAGGGGCGTTTCTGACCACGGCGAGCCTCGGCCACGAATAGGTCCCCCTGATGGGCCTGTTTTCCACAACCACCACCACCATAAGTTGGAGGGGGAGAGGCTCCTCCTCCTCCTCCTCCTCCTCCTCCTCCTCCTCCTCCTCCTCCTCCTCCTCCTCCTCCTCCTCCTCCTCCTCCTCCTCCTCCTCCCCCTCCAACTCATGGTGGTGGTGGAAAAGAGGCCCATCAGTGCATAGGGAACGGAGGGGCGTTTCGGACCACGGCGAGCCTCGGCCGCGCAGAGGTCCCCCGGCCTGTAGCTCCCTTAAGAGCCCCGCCGGTGCCCCGAGCGGCCCTTCTCTCTCACACCGCCCCCGCTGCTTTTAGCCCAGGGCCGCGGGGCGCCCCTGCTGCAGCGGCGCGCAGGTGGCGCCCCCGAGGTCCCGTCCCCCGAGATGAGCGTTTCGTCCCAGATCCCTCTTCCGGAGGGTCCGAAGGAGGGTTTTTGGCGAGGGGGGGGTTCCAGAGAGCACCCCAGGGGCCTCGGAACCTCGTCAAAGTGGGGGGTGCGACGCCCCTGGGGGACCCCTCCTGGAAAACCCCCTCCCAAAAACCCCCTTCGGAACCCTCCCACTTCTTTATTGCGCTGCTGCCCAATAACCGGCCCCCCGTAGCCCCCAATCGAAGGGAGAAAAGACACAGATGGGGAAAAATGGTACCGCCTGAGATCTTGGCTGCTCCCCTCGCAAGATCATATTCCTATTCTTCCTCCTCCTCCTCCATCACCCTTGTACTTGTCAAGAACTCTTCCCTGTCGCACCCCCAGATGTGTCGGTAGGGCAGGGCGGGCGTTTCGCTTGAAACTTCCTCACCATTCATGATCCTGAAGCTTGAACTTGGCAACAGCTTCGCGGATCGAGGGCGGGCCGTTTCTCACACGTGGCTCGCGCCTAAACGCCGCGCACATTCGTCCTAAAACGTTGCAGTAGCCCCTCACGGGTGGAGAACGGGAAGTGTTCCAAATGTGGCTCGCGCCGTAGCGCCGTGCACATGCGTGTTTTGTTATAGAGAATGATTTACCTTCAAGGATGGAGAGCAGTTCCTTTTCAAAACGTAGCTCTCGCAGTAGCGCAGCGCACATGCGCTTTAAAAGTGTGCAGCAGCTTCCAGGAGAGAGGGCGGCGCCTTTCCAAAGCGTGACTCTCGCCTTGGCGTCGCGTGCATTCGTTTTCAACGTGCGCAACGCTTGCCAGGACGGAGGGCGGCTCATGCTCAAAACAAGTGCACCTCGCCTTAGCACCGCGCACGTCAGTCTTGAAGTTCGAGACAGCTTCATTGACTCGTGGGGTTAACGTCCACGGAACGGCGTCCCGGCATGATTTAAGATTGCCAGGACGCAAGAGTAATGCTGATTCGCGGTATGGGAATCCCCAGAATTGCGTTCTGGCGCGATTCAGGATCGTCATGATGCAACAGTCACGTTGATTCGCGACGGTGGGGACCAAGGACTGGCGTTTTGGCGCGATTTGGGATTCTCAAACGGTTGTCGGCAATAGGCCATTCTAGTAGGGACCTATGACGACGGAACTTGGAGGGAGCGTTTGTTGCAACCTCGTTGATGCGTCTTGGCTTGGTACTCGCCATCCTCCTCCGCATTCTCGTCCTCCAGAATGTTCCAACTCCTCCAACTCCGGCGCCTCCTGCTGCTCCTCTTGCTCCTGCTCCTCCCCCTCCCTCCTCCCCCCCCTTCTCATGAAGGGGCCCTGGGACACACAAATAAATAGACACAAACAACAGGATCCCCCCAGATGCTCCCATATGTTCTGGGTTTTTGTCTCCCCCCACCCCTCCCCATATTTCCCCATATTTTCGCTGGAATCGACGATCCCTTGTGTCTGTGTGTCTTTTCCCCTCCTGGTCTCAAGTGTAATCTCTCGACGATCACTTGTGTCTGTGTGTCTTTTCCCCTCCTGGTCTCAGATGTAATCTCTCGACGATCACTTGTGTCTGTGTGTCTTTTCCCCTCCTGGTCTCAGATTTAATCTCTCGACGATCACTTGTGTCCGTGTGTCCGTCCGGCCGGCAGCTCCCAGCCTCGCCCACGCCGGCCCGCGCATAGGGCGTCCTGCGGCGCGCCCTTGCAGGGGCCGTCGCCGATGGGGAAGCGCAGGAGGCGGTCCGAGAGCAGCTCGGAGCGGCGGGCGCCCCCTCGGCGCAGCGGTGCCGTCGTCGTCCTCGTCGTCGTCGTCGTCGTCGTCGTCGTTTTCGTCGTCGTCGTCGTCGTCGTTTTCGTCGTCGTCGTCGTCGTCGTCGCCGGTTCTGGATGTGTTTTGCCAACGCTTGACCTTTTGCAAGGGCTCTCGTCGCCAGGGCCGTGCGCAACTCGAAGGGTTGAGAAAGATGGACCCTGGGAGCGGTCCAGTGTCTGACGTTGAGCGGAGCCGGGTCCGACGTCGTCGTCCTCGCGTTGGTCGCCGTCGCCGCCGTCGTCGCCGGGCAGGGGGGTGCCCTGGAGCCCCAAGGCTCCTCGCCTCTGCCCAGGACCAGCGCGAGGTGTTTCGAGCGCTTTCGGGAAGCCGTTGCACGCTTTGGAACCTCCGGGGGCCTCGGGAAGTCTCGAGGGACCTCTGTGGCCCTCTGGGGGCTCGCGGGGGCCTGTGGGTGTCAGCATCTGGGCCTCCAATAAGACCTCATCCTCCCTGGGCGCTGCCAGGCATGAAACGGTTTGGGTTCCCGCTATGATTGTGGATGCCATGACAATGGACAATCTAACAACCATATCATTAAATTAAAGATGTGTTTAAAATGTGTAAAAAAAAATGTTGTAGAAACGCTTCAAACATGTGTTTAACATAATTAAAACATGTTTGAAACATCTTTTAGATATCTGGAAATTATTTGGCAGCATGCTTCCTCTCCATTAAGCGACTTCCACGATGCTATGAAGGCTGAGGCGTTGGCTGTTGAGCAGATATGCAAAAACAGTTCGAACCATCAAAATATAAGCCCGAGATTCCTGACCACCATTTCGGTGATCCCAAACGGTGGTTGGCGGGGCAGGGGTCCTGCGCTGACCGTCTGCTGAACCAGCCAACCGGCGTCTGGATTACGAAATGGTCGGGCCTTGTTGGGTAAGCTTGTAGCTGCGCGTGCAGCGGGCAGTACAACGAAGGCAAGTCCACAAGACACCTTCCACAAAAAACCCAACCCTGAGACCCCAGGACGTCCATTGATATTTCGTGTGGGGACGTCACGCTTTCCGTAGCAAAACCGTCGACACCCAGGAAACCCATGGCACCCACCCAGGAGGCAAGCAGGGTGCTTCTTGGCATGGGCCCCCGACTGCAAGCAACCGCCACCGCACTGACCGCCGAGCCGCTCCCTCCCGTCGCCATCCCTGCCGGGGGGGGGGGGGTCCAGCGGAGCGGCGTCATCGCGCAGCTCCGCGGTGAGGCCTCGCCAGCCGGCTCTCCGACGGTCGCCCGTGAGGTGCGACGGAGCGCGGGGCCGCCGAGAGAGAGGCTGGCGCACGGCTGATGCGCACGTGGCAGACCCCTCGTCTCGAGACTGGACGACATCTCACTCGCGGGAGCCCTCCCTTGCAAAGGAGCTGCATTCCGTGTATACACAGATATACGCAGCAGCCCGCAGTTGCGGACAAGAGTGAGGGGGCGGCGAGGACGTCGTCCGTCTGGGAGGCTCCGAATACGCCCGCCGCAGGCGCATAACTTTTAAAAATTATGCAGTGGGCCCGCCGCAGGCGCCGATTCTTTCGCTAAAACAATGGGGGGGGATCGCGGGGTGGGTCGCGGGGGGGGTCGCGGGTGTGTCGCGGGGTGGGTCGCGGGTGGGTCGCGGGGTGGGTCGCGGGCGGATCACGGGGTGGGTCGCAGGTGGGTCGCGGGCTGGGTCGCGGGGGGGGTCACGGGCTGGGTCGCAGGGTGTGTCGCGGGCGGGTTACGGGGTGGGTCGCGGGTGGGTCGCGGGCGAATCGCGGGCTTTGTCGCGGGGTGTGTCGCGGGGCGGGTCGCGGGGTGGATCGCGGGGTGGGTCGCGAATGGGTCGCGGGCGGGTCATAGGTGGGACGGCGACAACAAACAACAACAACAACAAAAAAAAAAAAAAAGCGACAACAAACAACAACAACAACAAGGCAAAACAACCTGCTGGTGTACCCGGAGCCGGTCCACCAGTTCGCTGTTTTGCTCCATGTAGCGAAACAACCCACTGGTGTACCAGGACCCCCCCCCCCCCCCCCCCCCGCAACGCAACGCAACGCAACGCAACACGGCTGTATGAGCAGCCTCTGTTGCGTTGTGTTCCGTTGCGCGGGCAGGTGGGGGGTGTGTGACCCTACGGGAGCTCCCACTGTATGGGATCCCCTACGGATCCTATACGGACTGTATAGGATCCCATACGGATCCTATACGGACTGTATGGGATCCCATACGGATCCTATACAGACTGTATGGGATCCCCTACGGATCCTATACGGACTGTATGGATCCCATACGGATCCTATACGGACTGTATGGGATCCCATACGGATCCTATACAGACTGTATGGGATCCCTACGGATCCTAGACGGACTGTATTGGATCCCATACGGATCCTATACGGCCTGTATGGGATCCCATACGGATCCTATACGGCCTGTATGGGATCCCATACGGGTCCTATACGGCCTGATATGGGATCCCATACGGATCCTATACGGCCTGTATGGGATCCCATACGGATCCTATACGGACTGTATGGGATCCCATACGGATCCTATACGGCCTGTATGGGATCCCATACGGATCCTATACGGACTGTATGGGATCCCATACGGATCCTATACGGACTGTATGGGATCCCATACGGATCCTATACGGACTGTATGGGATCCCATACGGATCCTATACGGACTGTATGGGATCCCCTACGGATCCTATACGGACTGTATGGGATCCCCTACGGATCCTATACGGACTGTATGGGATCCATACGGATCCTAATACGGACTGCATGGGGATCCCATAACGGAATGCCTATACGGACTGTATGGGAATCGCAATACGGATCCTATACGGACTGCAATGGGATCCCCTACCGATCCGTAACGGACTGTATGGGATCGCATACGGATCCTATACGGACTGCATGGGATCCCCTACCGATCCGATACGGACTGTATGGGATCCCCATACGGATGCTATGCGGACTGCACGGGGTCTCATACGGATCCTATAAGGACTGTATGGAATCCCTTACGGATCCTATACAGACTGTATAGGATCCCATACGGATCCTATACAGACTGTATAGGATCCCATACGGATCCTATACAGACTGTATGGGAGTCCTATGAAACCCTGTAGGCGTCCGATGGGAGTCCTATGGAACCCTGTAGGGGTCCCATACGAATCTATACAGACTGTATGGGATCCCTCCGGAATCCTCTACGGACTGTATGGGATCCCATGGGAACCTATACGGACTGTATGGGTCCCATAACGGATCCCATAAGGACTGGTACATGGGACCGCATACGGATCCTATACGGACTGTATGGGATCCCATACGGATCCTATACAGACTGTATAGGATCCCATACGGATCCTATACGGACTTTATGGGATCCCATACGGATCCTATACGGACTGTATGGCATCGCATACGGATCCTATACGGACTGTATGGGATCCCATACGGATCCTATACGGACTGTATGGGATCCCATACGGATCCTATACGGATTGGATGGGATCCCCTACGGATCCTATATAGACTGTATGGGATCCCCTACGGATCCTATACGGACTGTATGGGATCCCCTACGGATCCTATACGGACTGTATGGGATCCCTTACGGATCCTAGACGGACTGTATGGGATCCCCTACGGATCCTATCCAGACTGTATAGGATCCCATACGGCTTCTATACGGACTGTATGGGATCCCATACGGATCCTATACGGACTGTATGGGATCCCATACGGATCCTAGACGGACTGTATGGGATCCCCTACGGATCCTATCCAGACTGTATAGGATCCCATACGGCGTCTATACGGACTGTACGGGATCCCATACGGATCCTATACGGACTGTATGGGGTCCCCTACGGATCCTATACGAACTGTATGGGATCCCATACGGATCCTATACGGACTGTATGGGATCCCTTACGGATCCTAGACGGACTGTATGGGATCCCCTACGGATCCTATACGGACTGTATGGGATCCCCTACGGATCCTATACGGACTGTATGGGATCCCATACAGATCCTATACGGACTGTATGCGATCCCTTACGGATCCTAGACGGATTGTTCTCGCTTGGGTTCCCGATGGGGCGTTCTGGAGGGTCTGGGGGGAGGCGCCGTGAGAGGCGGGGCCCGAGGCCTCTAGAGGCTCGTCCTCCTCCTCCTCCTCCTCCTCCTCTACATCCTCCTCGTCCTCCTCCCCTTCCCCCTTCCCCCCATCCCCCTCCTCCTCCTCCTCCTCTTCCCTCCTCTCCTCCCCCTCCTCCCCCCTCCTCTCCTCCCCTTCCTCCTCCTCCTCCTCCTCCTCCTCGCTCCTCCTCCTCCTCATCCCTCCACCTCCTCCTCCTCCACCTCCTCCCCCCTCCCCCTCCCCCCTCCTCCTCTCCTCCTACCTCCTCCTCTCCTCCTCCTCCTCCAGGTATGATGTAGACCATGCCACCTTAAGGGAGGCGTGAGAGGATGAGAAGCGGGTGCCTTTTATATCCGTCTCACCCTCCCTTTCTCTCATCTCTCTCTCCTCCTCCTCCTCCTCCTCCTCCTCCTCCTCCTCCTCCTCCTCGTCCTCCTCCCCCTCCGACGACAACGACGAACAATGCACACGCCCAAGGTTAACGAGGACCGCTGTCCCAGGTCCCCAGGGTCCGAGCCACGCCTGGGAGCCGGCTAACCACGAAAATAACCTCGAATGTTGATATCGCAAGAAGCGGTACGCGCAGGAGCAGAAAGAAGAAGAGATGGACCCCTGTAGGGGTCCCATGGGAACCTATGGAATCCTATGCGTGTCCTATGGGAATCCTATGGAAACCTGTCGGGGTCCTATGGGAGTCCGATGAAACCCTGTAGGGGTCCTAAGGGAGTCCTATGAAACCCTGTAGGCGTCCGATGGGAGTCCTATGGAACCCTGTAGGGGTCCCATGGGAGTTTTAAGGAACCCTGTCTGGGTCGTATGGGAG